CCAATGTGATGTCTCTACTCTTCCCTATTTTATTGAGATTGGTCATTGATTTCATTCCAAGAAGGAATTGCATCTATAGTCTGCATCTATAGTCATCTTTACGCCTAGAAATACAAAGTCTGTTACAGCCTCCATGTTTTCTCCCTCTATTTGCCAGTTGTCAATTGGTCCGGTTGTTTTTTGTTATCTTTAACTGCAACCCAGTTTTTGCCCTTTCTTCTTTCACCTTGGTTAGGAGGCTCCTCAGCTCCAACTCGCTTTCAGCCGTCAAAGTGGTATCATCTGCATATCTCAGGTTGTTAATGTTTCTTCCAGCAATTTTAACTCCAGCCTTGGATTTGTCAAGCCCTGCACACTGCATGATGTGTTCTGCATATAAGTTGAATAGGTTGGGTGAGCGTGGACAGTCCTTTCCCAAATTTGAACCAGTCGGTTGTTCCATGATCAGTTCTTACCGTTGCTACATTGGCCTTATACAGATTCCTCAGGAGAGAGACAAGATGGCTTGGTATCCCCATCCCACCAAGAACTTGCCACAATTTATTATTATCCACACAGTCAAGGGCTTTAGAAAAGTCAATCGAACAAAAAAAGTTGTTTTTTGTTTTTGGGCTGTATGGCCATGTTCTAGAAGCATTCTCTTCTGATGTTTCACCTGTGTCTATGGCAGGCATCCTCAGAGGATGTGAGGTCTGTTGGAAGCTAGGAAAATTGGATCTGTGGAAAGTCCAGGGTGGGAGAAAGAACTCTTGTCTGTTGGAGGTAGGTGTGAATGTCTCAATTGGCCACCTTGATTAGCATTTGATGGCCTGACAGTTTTTAGGTGTGCCCTGTTCCTGTCTGGGGGAACATGAACGATACTGCAGACTACTTCAACCAGAGGCTGGATGGCCATCTGTCAGGGGTGATTAGAATGCAATATTCCTGCTTCTTGGCAGGGGGTTGGACTGGATGGCCCATGAGGTCTCTTCCAACTCTATGATTCTATGATTCTATGAAGTCAGCCATAGCAGAGCACCTGATGAACCAACCAGGACACAGCATATTATTTCAGAACACAGAAATGCTGGACCACTCTCACAACCACCATGTCAGACTACACAGAGAAGGCACTGAAATCCACAAGCATGTGGACAATTTCAACAGAAAGGAAGAAACCACGAAAATGAACAAAATCTGGCTACCAATATTTAAAAAAACTCTAAAATTATAATAGTAAATAAAGAACAAAAGGTCGCAGGTTCGATTCCAGGGAGCGGCGTGAGCTTCCGCTGTCAGCCCTAGCTTCTGCCAAACTAGCAGTTCGAAAACATGCAAATGTGAGTAGATCAATAAGTACCGCTCCAGTGGGAAGGTAACGGCGCTCCATGCGGTCATGCTGGCCACATGACCTTGGAGGTGTCTATGGACAACGCTGGCTCTTTGGCTTAGAAATGGAGATGAGCACCACACCTCAGAGTCAGACATGACTGGACTTAATGTCAGGGGACAACCTTTACCTTTACCTAAATAAAGAACAAACTCAAACACAGGGGTACTCCAGACAAGAAACAATCAAGGACAGCTAATCAGCTCTCAACAAAGGATTCCCCCAGGCAGTAACAAGCACACAACTGTCAGGCCATCAAATGCTAATCAAGGTGGCCAATTGAAACATTCACACCTACTTCCAACAGACAAGAGTTCTTTCTCCCACCCTGGACTTTCCACAGATATATAAACCCAATTTTCCTAGTTTCCAACAGACCTCACAACCTCTGAGGATGCCTGCCATAGATGCAGGTGAAACATCAGGAGAGAATGCTTCTAGAACATGGCCATACAGTCCAGAAAAACCTACAACAACCCATCTCATGAAAGCCTTCGAACAATAGAATCATAGAATCATAGAACAAAAGAGTTGGAAGAGACCTCATGGGCCATCCAGTCCAACCCCCTGCCAAGAAGCAGGAATATTGCATTCAAAGTCACCCCTGACAGATGGCCATCCAGCCTCTGTTTAAAAGCTTCCAAAGAGGGAGCCTCCACCACACTCCGAGGCACAGAGTTCCACTGCTGAACAGCTCTCACAGTCAGGAAGTTCTTCCTCATGTTCAGATGGAATCTCCTCTCTTGTAGTTTGAAGCCATTGTTCTGTCCTAGTCTCCAAGGAAGCAGAAAACATGCTTGCTCCCTCCTCCCTGTGGCTTCCTCTCACATATTTATACATGGCTATCATATCTCCTCTCAGCCTTTTCTTCTTCTGGCTAAACATGCCCAGCTCCTTAAGCCGCTCCTCATAGGGCTTGTTCTCCAGACCCTTGATCATTTTAGTCGCCCTCCTCTGGACACATTCCAGCTTGTCAATATCTCTCTTGAATTGTGGTGCCCAGAATTGGACACAATATTCCAGGTGTGGTCTAACCAAGGCAGAATATAAACAAAAATAGATCTTTGTCTGAAAATCCCTGCCTTTCTCCATTATTATTTATGTATATTTTATTCTGGTTTCTGATTTTTTTTGAATTGGTTATATTTAAGTGGCATTTTAGTAAATTTAATACAAAATTGAGTTTTTTAAAGGGTGATCCGGGTTCAGCAGCGGCCTTTCAAGAGGTTCAGCACCTTGGACAGAGCCATGAAAGTGTGCGGTCCCTTTAAGAGAGTGGAAGTGTGCCAGGATGGTGGGCAAAGGGGCACATTTAACAATCCAGGCTGAATAATTCCAGCATGTCAAATAGGTTATGTTAAAAATGGGGGCCAATGTGTTGCTCTTTCTTTTCCTAGATCCTTCGCCAACCCACCTCTGCTTTATTTTGCTTCCTGAATGAATCTTTTGGGAACCTGGATGACGTCATAAGGCTTTGGTTATGATGCCACCTATAGAAAAGCAGAGGATGTTCCAGGCCACGCCCCCTTCGGAACGCCCCGCCCCCGGAGTCTACTAGTGCGGGTTGGAACCCCTCGCGCATGCGCAGCGTTATTTTCCAGTCGGTTGCTGAGGAGAATGACGTGACGCCATTATTCAGGGCACGCATGCGCAGTACACTCTTTGCCGCTGTCTCGTAAAGTAGGCAATGCCCTACTTCCTGGTTGCTGGAGGCGGGTCTTTTGGTGAGCATGTATTGTGTGCCACGCTCAGCCAATGAGAGAAGCGGCTATTTCGCGCGGACCAATCAAATCGAAGCGGAGGTGGGCCTTTCTCCCTTGAAAGAGAATTCTCTCAGGGCAACAATGCATCCAATTTATGTATTTATCGTGTCATCAGCAACCATTGTATTACAATTCTAACAGAGCAAAACAAACACAGAGATTAAAAAGAAAAAAAAGGAAAAAAAACCACACAGATTTTGCAAATTTGGTATTTGGTTAAATGTCCTTTGACCAGTATCTGGCCACTTGGAGTGCCTCTGGGGTTGCCGCAAGAAAGTCCTCCATTGTGCATGTGGCAGGGCTCAGGGTGCATTGCAGCAGGTGGTCTGTGGTTTGCTCTTCTCCACATTCGCATGCCAAGGATTCTACCCTGTAGCCCCATTTCTTAAGATTGGTTCTGCATCTCGTGGTGCCAGAGCACAGTCTGTTCAACACCTTCCAAGTCGCCCAGTCCTCTGTGTGCCCAGGAGGGAGTCTCTCATTTGGTATCACCCATTGGTTGAGGTGCTGGGTTTGGGCCTGCTACTTTTGGACTCTGGCTTGCTGGGGTGTTCCAGCGAGTGTCTCTGTAGATCTAAGAAAACTATGTCTTGATTTAAGTCGTTGACGTGCTGGCTGATACCCAAACAAGGGATGAGTTGGAGATGTCTCTACCTTCACTATTGGCTGCTACTTCCCGGCGGATGTCAGGTGCAATACTGGCTAAGCAGTATAATTTCTCCAGTGGTGTAGGGCGCAGACACCCTGTGATAATGCGGCATATCTCATTAAGAGCCACATCTACTGTTTTAGTGTGGTGCGATGTGTTCCACACTGGGCATGCATACTCAGCAGCAGAGTAGCATAGCGCAAGGGCAGATGTCTTCACTGTGTCTGGTTGTGATCCCGAGGTTGTGCCAGTCAGCTTTCGTATGATGTTGTTTCTAGCACCCACTTTTAGTTTGATGTTCAGGCAGTGCTTCTTGTAGGTCAGAGTACGGTCCAAAGTGACTCCCAGATATTTGGGTGTGCTGCAATGCTCCAGTGGGATTCCTTCCCAGGTGATCTTCAGAGCTCGGGATGCTTGTCTGTTCTTGAGATGAAAGGCACATGTCTGTGTTTTAGATGGGTTGGGGATCAGTTGGTTTTCCCTGTAATAGGCAGTAAGAGCACCTAGAGCTTCGGAGAGCTTCTGTTCAACCATCTCAAAGCTCCCTGCTTGAGCAGTAATGGCACGATCATCAGCGTAGATGAAACTCTCTGTCCCTTCTGGCAGTGGCTGGTCATTTGTGTAGATGTTGAACATGGATGGGGCGAGCACGCTCCCCTGAGGCAGGCCGTTCTTCTGTTTCCGCCATCTGCTTCTCTGACCCTGGAACTCAACAAAGAAGCTCCTGTTTTGTAGCAGGTTTCCTATGAGGCGGGTGAGGTAGTCGTCCTTTGTGATACTATACATTTTTCTCAGGAGGAGGAGGTGGTTCACAGTATCATAAGCTTCTGTTCAACCATCTCAAAGCTCCCTGCTTGAGCAGTAATGGCACGATCATCAGCATAGATGAAGCTCTCTGTCCCTTCTGGCAGTGGCTGGTCATTTGTGTAGATGTTGAACATGGATGGAGCAAGCACGCCGGGTCTCTTTGTGAATAGTCTTGGTGTCCCACGCTCAGCCAATGAGAGAAGCGGCTATTGCGCCGAGGACCAATCACATCGAAGCAGAGGTGGGGCTTTATCTCTTGAAAGAGAACTCTCTATCAAGGCAACGACGCAGCCAATAGGAAGCCTCTCAACGCCTCTCTGGACCAATCAGCGGGCGCCGTCGTGGCAGCGTTGCCCTCCGCCCGCTAGGGGACGCTGTGGCGACGGTGGCCACGGAGTGCCATACCGGAAGAGAGCGCAGACCGGAAGGGACCGGAGGAGCCACCGAAGGAGCGGAGAGGGGCCTGTCTCGTCGCGAAGGGCCTCCGCCGCGCCGCCTTCTCCTCCTCCTCCTTCTCCCCGCTCTTCCCCCTTCCTTCCTTCCTTCCTTCTTTCCCTCCTTCCTTCCTTTGGCCTTGAAGGAGCAGGTGAGCCCTGAGGGGAAGGAGGGCCCGGCCTTTGAGGCCAGAAGCGCCTCTCTTCGGGGAGAAGGCCTCGCTTCATGGGTGGAAGGGAAACCCTTAAGCAGGCATAGGCCAGCTTCGGCCCTCCAGGTGTTTTGGACTACAACTCCCACAATTCCTAACAGCCGGTGGGAGTTGTAGTCCAAAACACCTGGAGGGCCGAAGTTGGCCTATGCCTGTCTTTCAAGTGCCAGGCGTTCCTGTGGCCCAGTCTGTTGATCTGGCAAATAAAGTAATGAGAAAGTGTTGGTTTCTAATATATGTAATTTCTTTATGCTTGTGGGTAAACAGTATTTCTTGCTGTTTCTTTGTCAGTGTTGATGTGGAGACTGTCTGGTTTGCCTACTCTGGAACATGCAACATATCATTGTTTTTCTTTAGGGGTCCTTTTCAAATCTATGATACTATATCTCTCTGTGTGTGAATCATATCTATCTATCTATATCAGTGGTCCTCAAACTTAGGCCCGGGGGCCAAATGCGGCCCTCCGCTCAGGGTCAACCTAAGTCTGTAATGACTTGAAAGCACACAGCAACAACAACAATCCTATCTCATCAGCCAAAAGCAGGCCCACACTTCCCATTGAAATACTAATAAGTTTATATTTGTTAAAATTGTTCTTCATTTTAATTATTGTATTGTTTTTAAGTGGTTTTTTGCATTACAAATAAGATGTGTGCAATGTGCATAGGAATTCATTCATTTTTTTTTCAAACTATAATCCGGCCCTCCAACAGTTAGAGGGACTCTGGCCTGGCCCTCTGTTTAAAAAGTTTGAGGACCCCTGATCTACATTATTGAACAGATGCAGTTTGGCAGGGCTTTGATTACGTTTTCTTGCCCTGGTGAAGGGAGGTGGACTGGGTGGCCTTAAGTATTTTCTATTGGAACGCTCTTTAATTGTAAATGAACTATAAATCGCAGTAACTACAACTCCCAAATGCCAAGGTCTATATCCCCCAAACTCCATCTGTGTTCCTAGTTGGGCATATTGAATATTCGTGCCAAGTTTGGTCCAGGTCCATCATCAGTGCTCTTTGGATGTAGATGTACTACAACTCCCAAACTCAACGTCAATGCCCATCAATCCCTTCTAGTATTTTCTGTTGGTCATGGGAGTCTTGTGTGCCAGGTTTGGTTCAATTCCATCATCGGTGGAGTTCAGAATGCTCTTTGATTGTAAGTGAACTATAAATCCCAGCAACTACAACTTCCAAATGACAAACTCAATTTTTTGAGTGATGGTCATTCCTTGGGTTCGTAGGTGTCTAGTGGCCAAATTTGGCGGCAATTCGTCCAGTGGTTTTTGAGTTATGTTAATCCCGCAAACAAACATTACATTTTTATTTATATAGACTAGCTGTACCCGCCATACGTTGCTGTGGCCAGCCTTCCCTCCCTCTTTCTCTGCTACTTTCTCTCCCTTCCTTTCCTTTTTTGCTTTCATTCTCTGCTTCCTTCTCTTCCCCCCCCCCCCTTTCTTTCCCTTCCTCTTTCTCTCCTTTCTTCCCTCTCTACCTATTCTTGGACTGTAACTCCCAGTAGTCCTCCTGAGCAAGCTATCGACCTACCTATCTATCTCTATCTAATCTATCTATCCTATCTATCTGGAGTTGCAGTCCAGGAATATGAAATTGGAAATATGCAGGGATTGGGATGCTCTCAAAGAAATCCAAGGAGAAAAAAGCTTGCAGCTTGAAAGAAGTTCATTTGTATCATCCTCCACTCCTAAAGGGCCTGCTCTAGGGGATGCTGGGAGCTGTAGTCTAGAAGAGAATGTGGATATGCTGTGTGTTTTCTTTGCCAGGGGGAGTCCTTTTGTGCATGCGCTGTAGTGTAGTTCTTGCTTTTCTTGGCTTCTTAAGTCCCTTCCGCTGTGTTTTTCGGATTTTTTATGAGTGATGGTCACTTGTTGGCCTGATAGGTGTATTGTGTCCAAATTTCGTGTCAATTTGTCCAGTGGTTTTTGAGTTATGTTAATCCCACAAACGAACATTACATTTTAATTTATATAGATTGTTGGTATTGTCGAAGGCTTTCATGGCTGGAATCGCTGAGTTGTTGTAGGTTTTTTGGGCTATATGGCCATGTCCTAGAAACATTATCTCCTGACGTTTCTCCTGCATCTATGGCAATTTGGACGCAGCATGTTATTTGAGAACACAGAAATGCTGGACCACTCTAACAACCACCATGTCAGCCTACACAGAGAAGCTATTAAAATCCATAAGCAGTGGACAATTTCAACAGAAAGGCGGAAACCATGAAAATGAACAAAATCTGGCTACCAGTATTTAAAAAACTAAAATTATAACACTCAAACACAGGGAAACTCCAGAGAGGAAACAATCAGGGACAACTAATCACCTCTCAACAAAATATTCCTCTGGGCACTAACAAGCCACACCAAAAAACTGCCAGGCCATCAAATGCTAATCAAGGTGCCAAGTGAAACATTCACACCTACTCCAACAGACAAGAGTTCTTTCTCCCACCCTGGACATTCCACAGATATATAAACCCAATTTTCCTAGTTCCAACAAACCTCACAATCTCTGAGGATGCTTGCCATAGATGCAGGCAAAATGTCAGGAGAGAATGCTTGTAGAACATGGCTGTATAGCCCGAAAAACCTACAATGACCCATTTTTGTTATTTATTTATTTCTATCCCACTTTTCCCCTGGATTGAGACTCTAAGCACTGAACAACATATAAATAGCAAAGACATGATGCACAATAAAAACAAACAGCCTCATCATGTCTAATAAAGATGATGGAAAAACTCACATCAGACGTAATTACCATCTAACCAAAAACCACAGTTATATGTAATATAATTGTAATAATACTTAAACTTATTCTTGACATTGCCAGTTGAATGGAGTGACTTCCCATCAAGACAGGAACTAAAACTGAATCCAGGTTTGAGAGAAAGGAGGGATATACATTCAATAAATACAAAAATCAAAGAATTTATAATAACATAACACATTATTGTGATTATGTTTATTTATACCTTGTTTTTTCTGTCTATGGGAAGACTCAAAGCATCAAATATGTGTGTGTGTGTGTGTGTGTGTGTGTATATATATATATATAAAAACACAAATAAAGTAATACATAATAATACATTATATATATATAATATCTGTATCTAAATAATAAATAAAATAATGAACAACACAATTATATATATATATACACACACACAAATAGTAAATCGAGTATTTTATATATGTATATGTATTATGTCATGTATTACGATATATGTCAAACATAAATATACAATATATTTTAACAGATACAGTTGTGCATTTGATGCTTTTAGTCTTCCTATGGAGAGAAAAAGCAGAGCATAAATAAACATAATCATAAAAATGTGTTATGTATTATTGTATATTCTTTGATTTTTGCATATATCCCTCCTTTCTCTCAAACGGATTCAGTTTTAGTTGTTGTCTTGATGGGAAACCACTTTGTTCAATGGGCAATGCCAAGAATAAGTTTTAAGTGTTATTACAATATTGTTGTTATTTCCTGTTTTTTTTTTAATTGAGATGCAAAGTGGCTCTTGCAGTCTTGAAGGAAAGTCAGCTGGTTGGTGTAATCTAAATATAAATGTATTATATTGCTGTCCTCAACGTATAAGATTATTTAATGTGGTTTTTAATCACTTGTTCCACATTCCATTCTGTATTGCTTTAACTTTTTTTAAAAAGCGATTTTGTGAGAGGTCTTATTGGAGGAAACGACGTGCTAGGAATACAATAGATGTGCCTGTTGCACTCTTCTTCTGTGGCTTTTCAGCAGCAAGTCCTTGTAAATCTCAGGAAATTAAAAGGAGGCCCTGCTTCCTTGACATATATTTGTTGAGGGCTCTTTCAGATACAATTGTAGGAAACATAACCAAAAGCAAATGTATTGCAGTAGGAGCTGTGCTTGAAATTGAAACTGTTGGTTTTGTTCCTCCATTGGAGTTTCCTTTCTATTGTTAAAGTGGCTGTTCTCCATTAACATTGAGTTCATGCCAGGGGAGATCAGGAATCACTCCTTGGACTCTTATTTAAGATTTAAAATGAGTAATTTCGCTCTTAACTTTGTGGGAAAGGTCTTGTTGACGTTTTTTCATGCTGGCGAGCTTTGAAACAATTACACTATTCCAAATATTTCAACTATGGCTGGATCTATACTGCCAGGTCAATGCAGTTAAGATGCATTCAGAAACTGGATTATATTATTATTATTATTATTATTATTATTATTATTATTATTATTGTTAGTAGTAGTAGTATATTAGAATTAAAATTTATGCCGAAGCTGTATCTTCTCAACATGATAGATGTGCAAATCAATAAACCTACAAGGAGAATCATCATGTATATGATGACAACACAAAGGGGTAGTATTGACAGCTGAAATTAAGAGAAGCCATGGAAATGGACAAATTATCTAGAATAACGAAGAGGAGCTGTCTAAGCAAGGTGCAGAAACACGAGGAAGTAGAGAAATATTGAAAGGAATAAGTCATCTCTGTATACAAAAATAAACAGTGCATATTTAAGTTTCTCTTTCTAACAAATGGAATGCAAGAAGACTTCGGATGAACCTCTCCCTCAAAGGGAGGGAAGGAAGCAGTGCCTTTGTATTTATTGTTGAATTGGACTGTGTTATGTTTACTTTGGTTTGTATGTGTCTTTTCTTCTTATGGTGTTGCTTGTGTTGTTTTTTTTACTTCCTTTTCTGAAAATCAATAAAATATAACAAGAAAAAATCCCAAAATGTTCTACCTGATCAAAACGCTGTTTGTCCCTCTTGACTGCTTGTAGGTTTGTTTCCATAGATGGGATCCTTCCTTCCTTTCCTAAATTACTTCTATCTGGTTGTTTCCATTTCAGACGCTTCACACTGAAGAAGTGGGTGTCCATGATAACATGTCCAATGTCTCCGTGGATAGAAGCATCAGACTGCAGGAGATCAAGAAGGGGCTGCAGTTTATACAGTAAGGGCCTTTGGCATCTGGATTCCTTTGTCTGAAGGATTTTCCTTGGCAGATGGGCTGCCTTAACACAAAGTGCCATATTTTTCTTCTTCGGTGTATATGTCTTTCATATTGAACGATTATCCAGATTTGTCATTACCAAGTAAACATATGGGTGCAACAGAGCACCAAGGGGACTCTTTTCCCTCCTCCTTTTTTAATAAAAAGGTAAAGGTTTCTCCTTGACATTAAGTCTAGTCGTGTCTGACTCTGGCGGGCGGTCCTTATCTTTATTTCTAAGCCAAAGAGCCAGTGTTGTCCGTAGACACCTCCAAGGTCATGTGGCCAGCATGACTGCATGGAGTGCCGTTACCTTCCCACATAAATGGTACCTATTGATTGTCTCACATTTCCAGGTTTTCAAACTGCTAGTTTGGCAGAAGCTGGGGCTAACAGAATCCCTGGATTCGAACCGCTGACCTTTTGGTCAGCAAGTTCAGCAGCTCAGCTGTTTAACCCATTGTGCCACCAGGGTCTCCTGCCTTTCTCAATACCTTGGTGAAAAAGAAGAAAAGGGAAAAGTTTTTAAAGCATTTGTTAGATTTTTTTTGCATGGAATTTTCAAATTATAACTTTTGTGCTCAAAGGAGGATTGGAACAAGCCTTCACTAGGAAGGAAGGACTTAATTATATATGATTGACTTCAACCTAAAGGATGGGAAGTCACAGTAACGGGATGAGTAGTGGGAGGAAAAGGCATAATAAAGATGAACGGGAAATTTATAGTCTCCGTGAACAAAAAAAAAAACAAAAAACAGTTTTTTCCTCCAAATGGGATGCAAGATGATTAAGGAAGAATCTCTCTCAAAGGGAAGGAATGGAGTCTATAGACAAGAAACCGAAGCAGTGTTTTTAAGTTTTATTATTTAATTGGATTATGATCTGTTTTTCTGGATTAAGTGTGTCAATTTTCTTTGTCTTTTTTGAAGATTTAAATAATTTAATAAAGAAATATAATACTGTATACATATTAGGAAACATTATTCAAAAATTAATTTGTGTGTGATAGATCAAGGTGGGAGATTCTTTGTTATGGCTGTTCTTTTTGTTCAGTATGCACATTAAAATTTAAAAATAGTTAATCATGGGTGTGTGTGGGCGGGGAAGATAATAATGCTCTTAAGTTGTTGCTTCTGTGCACACATAAGTGGGGAGACATTCCCACTGAACACAGTCATGTTAAATTCTGAGTAAATACATAAAGAGTTGTAAATATCACTGTTCTATGCACACTGCCATGTTTTAGTTGCCGTTTCATTTGGAGAAGGGTTGACATGTGTTCCTTTGAGAAGACATTGTTTGCCTTTTCTAGTCCTGTTTTGGTCTCATCAGCTCTCTTTTTGGACAAAGTCCTTTTGGACAAAGTCAGAGCAAGTTTTCAGTTTCGTTTTTCTCTTTCTCTTTCTCAGGTCTACTTTACCCTACCCAGGGACACAAGAACAATATGAGGTAACAGGGTTCTGCTTCGAGTCTTTTTTTTTTAGAGAGAAAAAGTGGGATGTGAATAATAATAATAATAATAATAGTAGTAATAATAATAATAATAATAATGGTGACCATCCTTGTTAGATCTTGTCCCAGGAGAAAACAACAATGTAAAACAAATAAGGATAAAATAGTCTTGCATCACAAGAAAGTTTGGCTGTCTTGCTAATCACCCTTGAGCTCAAATACATTTATGGACAAATTCCATAAACGTTAGTCCCAGTCCAGACTGCTGAGCATCTTTTGCCTGAATTTTCTTGTTATTCTCAAGCAGAGTACAGTGTTCCCTCGGTCCTTCATAGTTTGCTTATCACGGACTTGCTGTTTTGCAGTTTTCCCTGCTGTCGTGACTCAGTTGGAATCACAGACTGTCTCTGATGAGGATGACGGGACTCAGGTTCACAGTTCGGTTCAAGATGTCCCTGTTATAGATGTCCCTGTTTTTGACAAAGTGCAGTTTCCCACAGCAAGGCATGAGAGTGTTGATACTGAAAATAGCCAGGAACAGGTGCACATTGAGGAGGATAGTTCTCAGCCTGATAATGAGCAAGCAGGAAAACAGGCTGACACTACCGAACAGACTGACCTTGATGAAATGGGAACCTTAGGTCGGGCTGACCGTTTGGAATTCCGAGTCCGAAGGAGTGAAAGGATAGCTAACAAGAGGGAGGCCAGGGGACAGAGAAACGCCTTCATGTTTTGCAAAAGGATATTAAGCCATGTGTGTAAGACCAGATCTTTGTCAAAGCAACTTTGTGTTCTACCAAGAAGTTTGCATATGCTTGTCTGGATTTATCTTGCAGCTTTTGTGTTCATGGTTTCAGGACATTGTCATGTTCTCTTGGGGTTTTGCTTTGCTGGTGCCTTTTTGGATTAAGCTTCAAGTGCTTTTGGATATTGATCTGTTGGAACATTAACCTTTGCTTTTAAGAACTTTTTTTTACCTTTTATTCTTAATAAACTATAAAGACTTCTGGCTGTGTGTGGTTTGGTGTCTTCAGCAAAGTGAATCTACTCTGAGGTGCAACATCTGTATGGCCCTCCTCCTCGCCCTCCCTCTCTCCCTCCCTCTCACGCACTTTGCCTTCTCTTTCCTCTCCGCTTTCCCCTCTCTTCCTCCCTCCTTTGGGCGCTCATGCCACCCTCCTCTGGCAAGAGAGACACTTTCGCCTGCACGGCCCTCCTCTTCTTCCCTCCTTTTGTTCCTTCCTCCTCCACTTTCCCTCCTGAGGCTGTGGGAGAAAGAAGAGAAGAAGGAGGTGCTGGTGCTGGTGAGGAAACAGAGGGAGCTGCTGGAGCCGCTGCCCCTTCAGTCAAGTTTACTCCGGCGGCAGCTCCTGCAGAAGCAGTACGAGCCGAGTGAGAGGGAGAAGAGGCGGGAAAGAGGAGGAGAAAATTTCTTTCTCCTCCACTTTCCTGCCTCTTCTCTTGGCTCGTACTGCTTCTGCAGGAACCGCTGCCCCTTCAGCTAAATCTACTCTGGCAGCAGTTCCTGCAGAAGCAGTATGAGCGGAGTGAGAGGGAGAAGAGGAGAGAAAGCAAAGGAGAAAGAAATTTCCTCCTCCGCTTTCTCGCCTCTTCTCCCTCTCACTCGGCTCGTACTGCTTCTGCAGGAGTAGACTTGACTGAAGGGGCAGTGGCTCCCTCTGTTTCCTCCCCAGCCCCAGCATCTTCTTCTTCCACCTCCTTTCTCCCACAGCCTCAGGAGGGAAAGCGAAGGAGYAAGGAAGACAAGGAGGGAGAGAAGGCCAGGAGGAGGAGGGCCGKGCAGGCAAAAGTGTCCTTCTTGCCAGGGGAGGGTGGCATGAGCYTCCGAGGGAGGGAGGAAAAGGGGGAAAAGAGGAGAGGAAAAATGAAGGCAAAGTGTGTGTGTGTGGGGGGGGGAGTGTCCCTACATTGTGGTATTTCACTTATCGCGGGAGGTCCTGGACATTGAATAAGATCTTGTTAGAGCCACCCTATTGGATGCTTAATGGATACTTTGTCTTCCAGGTATTCATACGCGATCTTGTCAAGAACCTGTTCCACGAAGGGAACGAGGCTTACCAAGAAGGCGACTGGGAAGGGTCGCTGAGCCATTACTCTGAAGCTTTGAACATTGCCGATTATGCCAGTTCTGAAGGGATCCACATTTCCGATGAAATATTAGAGAAGCTGCGTGTAAATCGCATTGCGTGTTATTCAAAGAAGGTAAGGGAGCGGCATCAAGAGGGCAAGTGGTTCATGGGCCTGATCCAGTTCTAGGTTTCTTCCTTGAGAATGTCGGCAGGGCTGGTAGAACCCCTTAAAAGCGTACCCTTTGTCCTTCTGCTGGTAGTGTTTTTAGAGAGAATTTTTGTGGTCATTGGCTGTCTGTTCAGGAAGTGGACCTTAACAAATTGGTGCAGGACATTTTCAAATGGAGAGGGGAAGTTGGCACCTATAGCTTTAAGACCAAAGGAAAGGAATAGTCTCTTAAATGGTCTTTACCACAGTTGGCTTCTTTTGTCCAAGGATTCCAGGAAAGAAATGTTCCTGATAACGCTTACATTTGTTTGTCCAGGGCCAGCATGACAAAGTCCTAGAAGACTGTGGAGTAATTTTAAAGCTGAATGAAAACAATTTCCGAGCTCTCTATCGGAAAGCCAAAGCCTTAAAAGAACTGGGAAGGTACAAGGAAGCATACGATGCAGTCGCTAAATGCTCCCTCGCGGTGCCACAGGTGAGCCCACCAGGCTGGCCAAAAGAACACTGGGCCCCACTCATTTGTGCTGGGGGAACAATGTGCAGAATATTTTAATTTCTTTCCTGAGGATTATATTATTAACTAGTTTAGGTGCCCAGCATTGCCCGGGTTTGCATTTTGTAATTGGATTTATTAGTAAAAATAATTGTTGCTTTTATTATAGTAGGGACGGATCAGTCACCAGACACAAAGCAGTATTTTCTTTGTCCCTCAGGGAGTGAGCATACCTGGCTGATTTAGGTCTCCATAGTAACCCTCTAGTGCCCTTTTACGGTAACAACTGGCCCTTTCTTGCAGCCCTCTAGGGAACTCTTGCAGTCCCACCTGTCTCTTTCACGTGACATCCCAATGGCCTTTTGGGGTAACAGCTGGTTCTTTCCTGCAACCTTCCAGTGACCCCTTTGGGGTAACAGCTGGCTCTTTCCCACACATTTCATACGTACAGATATAGAAACATATTTTGTTTTTTATTACAGATCAATAGATGTTGATATGCATATTGATAGGTGTCGCTGAAACTCCATAACAGCATATTAATCGTGTATATTTTTAAACAGGATGAAAGTGTAATAAAATTAACTCAAGAGCTTGCTCAGAAGCTTGGATTGAAAATAAGAAAAGCCTACGTTAGGGCAAAAGTAAGTTGAAGCCATGTTTTATTTAGGTGTTGCTTTTGAAATGCAATTTCTTCTTCTTACGGTTGCTGATGGCTCTTTTTAATGGTGACATTTTGCATTTATTTATGAAGATATTCTTCATTGCAGCCTTCCCCAAGCTCTGTTTCTGGAGAAGTATCAAGTAAGGTATGATGCGATTTCCTTTTCCATAAACGGAGTACTTTTGATAGAACTCTTCCCTGTCAGTATGAATTGCCACGTTGGATATATATATATATTTGGCTGGGATTCTCAATAACAGAACAGCACTTTAGAAAATATTTCTGATGCTGAAAAGAGGAAACACATATATGCATTTGTGTTTAAAATGAATACCAGCTGGCTTTATGTTTAATCATGGATACATTGCTTTTGAAATTGGTTCAGTGGGTGTTTACAATATATGGCTGCTACCTGATTACCTTTTAGGAGAGGAGGCTGGACAGCAATATGGTTTGTGTTAGCGGCACTTGCATTTTGGGCTTTCTCTCCTGTTCGGCCAGAGTGGAAGATACTTGTTATTAAACCTTTTTGAGGCCTCAGTATATATGTATGTATATGTACTGTGTGTATGCCATGAGGCACTGCTGTGTAGACGCTCTGCTGAAAAATATTTTGTTTTCTTGCAGGTTTCAAATGCTTCTATAGAAGATATTGAATCAGGTGAGGTTCCCAGGACTTAGTGGGGAAAAGTTACATAAAGCAGGGAATCTACTCTTATTTTTCCCCCGAATGGGATTTATTGCTATTTGAAGGTCAGTTGGGCGGGGCTGTAGAGAGGGAATGCATTGGTTTCTTCACAGTTTGTAGATCACAGTTGTGTAGGTTTTCAAGGAGACAAGAATCAGGTGCTAGGTCTGCCTTCCTGGTTTGCTGACCTCCTAATGCTTCAGTTCCAATAACCATAGAGCAAGGATGTAAAACTCATTTCCACGGAGAGCCTCATCAGCCTTATTAGGGTGACCTTTGAAGGGCCCTTGATCGAAGAATCTGTGGAGACAAAGCACTATATATATATATACATATATATATATATATATATATATACACACACACACACACATACATATATATATACACACACACACAGACATATACACACACATACACATATACACACCTGTATATACACACACATATACATACATATATGCACACACACAGGCAGTCCACGAGTTGCAAGCATCCAATTTACAAATGAACTCACAGTTAAGAAAGGGGTGGGACAACACAAAGTGAGAAAAATCTGCTCCTTGGAAGGGAAATCCACTCCTGGAAGACTTATTATTATCATGGGGAGTTATTATTATCATGTGACAGATGATATATTTCACTTTACCTTTTTTTGACAGAAATTAATTACTTAGTGAATCACAATCCCAAGCACTTGGGACTCTGAGGTTGGGAAAAGGCTAAAGGGCATTTTAAAGCCAGGCATCATATCCACAGGCTTTGTATCTCGATGCAAACCCTACTATCCTGATTCAACAGCACAAACTACAGTCTTCAAATGTCCCTGATTCCCAACTCCCATCAGTCCTAGTCAGGATGAGGAGGAGTGCCACATCAAAGAGCTTGGGGGGTTGCACTTCGGCCTTGTATTTAACCCATGTGTCCTATAGCCATTGCCCTCATGGAAGTCAATTCCCGGCCATATTTGCCCATACTGTCCAACAGATTATTGACAATCTATATAAAGGGGTGTCATCGTGTATTCATAGTTGAAATTATTCTAGTTCTCTCTCTTGTTTTCCAGATTTTTCTGGCTGGAAGGAGAAGGGCCTTTCCTCCTCCTCCTCCTCACCCACCCCTCCGGGCTTTGTCCCTGACCTGTCTGGTGACTTGGCCCCTTTGCCAACGGCTAACTTGATGGGCCTTCCTGTGGAGAAGACCCCGCTCTCTGCCCCTTCCTTGGCCAATGGAGGGGCCTTTCCTCTCTCAGAAGGCTGCTTGGATTGCGGTGATGGCGACGACATCCTTGGAGATGAAATAGATGAGCTGCTTGACTCAGTTTCGGACCCCGGGGAAAGCGCCATGGTGAGAAGCTGCCATCTAGTTTTGTTTCTCCAGCTGCCTTTTCCTTGAAACCTCTGGGATCACACTGTAACACGATTTTTTTCCTGGGTTATGAATGTGATTTCCTAATTGGTTCGATCATCAAAACATGGGGAAAGTGAATTAACTGTAAAAACTTTGTTTTTGTGAAAGGGGCATTCTACAGGGACATTTTGCTATAGTTTTTCAATAAATCTCTCATAAACTCACAACCAATTCAACAGAGTTTGTGGCAGCCACAAAAACAAAGTTTCTGAAGTAGAACGATTATTTTCAAAGTAAGTACTGCACAATCAAACATGAAATAACACTTTCATGCCAGGGACAGAACATTTTTCCAATTTTGTTACATAGTGTTATCCATCCTGATTGTGGTTCCCAAGGCCTTAGGTCAGCGCTGTCCAAACATTTCACTTTTTGAAACCTGCGTCATTTCGCAATACAGTCATTCACTATTACTAGCAGTCTGGAGGTTAAAGCAACCTCTCTTGAGGGATTCAGACACATGCATACATTGCAATAATGCAGTGTATGGGGACACATCTCATTATTGTGAATGTTCATCTGCATTTTCTCCTGCAAAGGATTGTTACCTTGTTACTGTGCTGGAATTTGAGCACATCAATAATGCCATGAGCGTCATATGCAGATGATACCACTTCGATGGCTGAAAGTGAGGAGGAGCTGAGGAGCCTTCTAACCAAGAAAGTGTAAAAGCTTGGTTGTAGTTAAACATAAAAAAAACAAAGATTATGGCAACCAGACTGATGAATAACTGGCAAATAGAGGGGAAAACATGGAGGGAGTGACAGACTTTGTATTTCTAGGAACAAAAATGACTGCAGACTGCAGCCAGGAAATCAGAAAACGTTTACTTCTTGGGAGGAGAGTAATGAGCAATCTCGATAAAATAATGAAGAGTAGAGATATCACACTGACAACAAAGATCTGCATAGTCAAAGCAATGGTATTCCCCATAGTAACCTCTGGATGCGAGAGCCATAAGGAAGGTTGAGCAAAGGAAGATAGATGTTTTTGAACTCTGGAGCTGGAGGAAAATTCTGAGAGTGCCTTTAACTGCCAGAAGATCCAACCAGTTCACCCTCCAGGAAATAATGCCCAATAGCTCATTGGAAGGAAGGATATTAGAGGCAAAGATGAAGTACTTTGTCCACATAATGAGAAGACAGGAAAGCTTAGAGAAGAGAATGATGCTGGCGAAAATGGAAGGAAAAAGGAAGAGGGGCCGACCAAGGACAAGATGGATGGATGGTATCCTTGAAGTGACTGGCTTGATTTTGAAGGAGCTGGGGATGGCCCCGGTTGACAGGGAGCTCTGGTGTTGGCTGGTCCAAGAGTCACGAAGAGTCGAAAATGACTGAACAAATAAACAACAACACATCTGATTTTACCTGGATTTTTTTTTGTCGTGTCAGGAGCGACTTGAGAAACTGCAAGTTGCTTCTGGTGTGAGAATTGGCTGTCTGCAAGGACATTGCCCAGGGGACGCCCAGATGATTTTGATGTTTTTATCATCCTTGTGGGAGGCTTCTCTCATGTCCCCGCATGAGGAGCTGGAGCTGATAGAGGGAGCTCATCTGCCTCTCCCCGGATTCAAACCTGCGACCTGTCAGTCTTCAGTCTTGCCGGCACAGGGGTTTAACCCACTGCGCCACCGGGGGCTCCATTTTACCTGGATGTGTTCGTTATATGGATTTTAATAGTATTTTATTTTCAACTGTGTTGTACCCCGCCTCAAGCAGAGTACAATAATAATAATATAATCATCGGTAGAAATGTTTATTATTTATTAGGCTCAGAGGTTTCTCATTACATTTGTGCAGCTCACTGACACACAGTTTGGAAAGCTCTGCTGTAAGTTTTAAAAGGCCTTCTTCAATGTTTCATGACAGTTGTTCTTCATCAATATCCCTGTATGAGGGTAAAAGTATAATAGTGTATTTGTGGGGCCTAACTGACTGTATTTCCTGGCTCCTGTATGCTGCAGAGAGAGCTTGGTTTGGAAGATGTGCCCCAGACGCTGGCAACTCCTGCTTGCATCCATGTTATTGGTCTTTCTTGGGAAAAATGTTGGTGTCATCATTGTCCGAGGGGCCCCCCGCCTGACCTCTGTCTCCCCTTCTCTCCACAGCCCAGCCCAGCTGTCCGCGGAGCCCTCCCAGCGGCTGCCATCGCTCCCAGCATCCCCTTCTCGGCCCCATTGCTGGGGTCCTTGTCTGTGGGACCGGGCTTCGTCTCCACGGGCTCTTACTCTGAGATATACCCCTCCCAGCCCTTGGTCTCTGCCCTGGACAACTTCTGCTCCTCTTTAAGTAGCTTCTCCATAGGTGATTCTAAAAGAGGTAAGAAGATGGGGGGAGTCCAAGCAGGATGTTTGCAGTCAGGGGGACTGGTCGGGTCCATAAAATGGATTCCATCTTTTCACCTTTCTTGTATGTGAAATATGAGTATCACACTAACTTGTGGTCTTGTTAATCCCAGTAGATATACCCAGTTCTCTTTCGAGAGATGTCGGCTCAGCATTAAACAGCAGTTCTCCTCTACGGCTTGTAAGTAACGGTAACTTCCCACCACTCAAAAAATTATTTTAGTTTTAGCCTTAACTCTTCTGAACCTTTAGTGTGTCCATTCTCATCACGGTTTTTGTGCAGAAGACAATTTTTGAACATTTTAAAAATGGGGCCAGGACTGTTGCAAACCAGGCTTAGATTCGGAGTCAAAGCCAGTTTGATTTATCATCATCATCATGAACTTGGTACAACCTCCATCTATTATTATTGTTGACACAAAAACATAGAATGGCACAGCAAACGAGATATATATGCTGGATTTCTTAAAACAATTTCACAAGTCCAACACTTCCCAAGCTTTCTAGGACTGTGTGATGTATTTTCAATAATAATAATAATAATAATAATTATTATTATTATTATTTTCAATAATAAATAATGTATTTTCAATAATAATAATAATAATAATAATAATAATATACTATAATGAAATAATATAATAATGTATTTTCAATATTATTATGTACTTTCAAATGATGCGTGCAGATCCAAACAAGGTGGCCTTTGACAGTTGACAGATCATGATTTTGTCAATGTTTATTTTTTTCAAGTTTTTAAAATAATAATTATTATATCAATATAATAATAATGCAATTTTATTTATTATCTGCCTCTCCCAGTGGCAAGGTTGGCTAAACCAGACAGACAAATGCAACACCATTAAAATGCATTTTTCAAAATACATACATGAAAAACTGAAACCATGATACTGCATGTCTTCCAGTGTAAGACGCCACCGATTGTAAGAAGCATCCTAATTTCAGTACCAACAGAAATACATAAAATACACGTGCAATTCTAAGATGCACCCATTTTTAGAGATGTTTGTATAGGCATAAAAGTGTGTCTTAGAATTGAAGAAAGATGGTAATACTCTCTTGTCCTGGCCTCCTTTGCAGGGCTGTTGTAAAGATAAAGCGGGGCAAAGGAGAGTTCTGTGACTGCTTCTCTGAGGCCCTTTGGATGGATTTTTAAAATGCCATCACCCTATGTCAGGTATGGGCAAACTTCAGCTCCCCAGGTGTTTTGGACTTCAACTCCCACAATTCCTAACAGCCTTAGGTCCTCTTTAAGTGGCTGAAGGGGAAAAGGAAAGGGCCTGAGGCTGTTAGGAATTGTGGGAGTTGGAGTCAAAAACACCTAGAGGGCTGAAGTTTGCAAATATCTGACATATGTCCTCAAATGCTCCTCTTTTTCACCAAAATGAAGGTTCGCATTAGATTCGGTTATCTTAGTGTGGACCCAATGCAAAAGGGGAGGCTTCTTCAGGAGCTGCACCCAGAACTCCCATTTGAGGGAGGTCATCTCTAATTTCATGTTCAATGTTACAACAACCTGGAATTCGTAGTTTGCATTCTTTGGCAAAGATGGCTCAAGGCCTTGCAAAACTATAGCCCTCATGATTCCATAGCATTGAACCAAGGCAGTTAAAGTACATTCATTCTACAGTAGAGGGCACCTTTTGCCACCTTTTGTGCATGACATTCGGCAGCAAATACTTTTTTTTGGTGTCAGGGTTGTGAACATGGTGTGCCTTAGATTCCATGGTGCATGAGACTGGGGTCATTATGGATCATACTATGTCACTGGGAGATTGATTTTTCGTGTGTGTGTGTGTATGTATAGGGTGAGGCAGCATAATTTCCTTTTTTCAAAACTTAATAAAATCCATTGTATGAATCAGATTTTTTTAATAATGTAGGCGCATACCTAAAGTTTTGTTTTATGTAGTTTTGAAGATCAAATTAGGTAGGTGACGTCCCCCATTCTCCATTCTCCATACACTGAGTAAATTGATTTCTGGTGTTTGTCATGACAGGCGTTACGTTGGCAATTTCTTCCTGGATGTTGGTCTTCAAATCTTGTAGGGTCCTTGGACAGTTCAAATAAACACGGGATTTCAAAAACCCCCATAGAAAACAATCACAAGGGGCCAAATCTGGAGAGCGGGCCAGCCACTCCAAATCCGCTCGAAAAGTAGGCCTCAACGGCAAAAGCACACTTCTCACTGTTCCAACGCATGATGGCGACTGAACTGTGTAAAGACAAAACTTTATACTCCTGCCTCTCGAACAAAACCAGTAGCGCTCCGCTATGTCTTCAACCAACCGAGTGGCACACATTTTAAAAAAGGAAGTTATGCTGCCTCACCCTGTATGTATGTATATGTATATATTTCTGAGAACCATTTTTTCCTTCCCAACAGCTGAATGGTCCCCCAAGTTTGTTTAGCTCTGAGAACTATATTGGGATTTCGAGTCCGCCTCGGAGTGACTTTCCCGGCGTCTTTGGCGGGGGGGCTGCCAATGTGCCAAGCCTTTCAACAGCGACAGCAGCAGCGGCCTCCTTGGCAGTGAGGAACCCACTGGAAGGCAGCCATGATCTGCGCCAGGCCTGCCAGGCCTGCTTTGTCCGGAAAGGTGAGGAGGAGCTTTTGCGAAGCCCATGGCGTGCATGCGGATCCAGTTTGCAGATGGGACCAAAGGGAGAGAGAGAAGTCATACTCTAGGAAAGGGGTCCATTTGAGGGTGATGAAAAGGATCAAAGGTCTGGAGACCATGAAGAATCTCTCTGAGGAGCAACTTCAACGGTTTATTTATTTATTTATTTATTTATTTATTTACGGCATTTATATGCCGCCCTTCTCACCCCGAAGGGGACTCAGAGCGCCTTACAAAATATATTTTCATACAATATATTATATTATTAGCATAGTACAATATCAGTGTTATATATAATCTAGCCCCCGGTGGAGCAGTGGGTTAAACCCCTGTGTCAGCAGGACTGAAGACCGACAGGTTGCAGGTTCAAATCCGGGGAGAGGCAGATGAGCTCCCTCTATCAGCTCCAGCTCTTCATGCAGGGACATGAGAGAAGCCTCCCACAAGGATGATAAAAACATCAAATCATCTGGGCATCCCCTGGGCAACGTCCTTGCAGATGGCCAATTCTCTCACACCAGAAGTGACTTGCAGTTTCTGAAGTCGTTCCTGACATGATAAAAAAAAGTATTATCTATTACTATATTGCACTGTACCATTATATTGTTATATTATTAGTAATATTACATGTAGTGTAAATATATAATTATAATTATAATATTTTATTATTACTAGTGTTATATTGTATTACATTATAATATTATAAATATTATACGTACATACAATATACTGTATTATATTATTAGTAAAGACAGAAGACAAGATGGAAATGTCTTCTGCTCCCCTCTGTCTTCGCTCTGGCCAGAGCAGCCATTGGGTCTGTTTAGCCTCAGAAGAGAAGGCTGAGAGGAGACATGTTTCAGTATTTGACAGGATGCTTCGGTTGTGCTTTTCCTGCAAGGAGACAGAAGGGGGTTGGGCTAGATGGCTCTTGCAGGTCCCTTCCAATTGTAGGATTCTATGAGGGGACGTATATTAAATGAGCCACCTCTTTCTTTTTCCTTTCAGATCCCAAACTGTGGGAATACATTTACCATCCCAACCTAGACCACCTGTGTAAGAAGGACATCCTCATTGGGAGAATAAAGAACTCTGAAGATAAATCCTGGAAGAAGATCAGGCCCAGGCCAACAAAAACGCAATACGTGGGGCCCTATTATATATGTAAAGGTAAGGATTCTGACAGTGGAGCTGGAGGCATCTTCAGTTCAGTGGGGCTTGGGTACCATTTAGGAATCATTTGAAATGTATTTTCTTTAGCCTTGGTAGGTCTATATCTACAATCTGGATATAGATTATTCTTGCTGCTGTAATCATATATAACACTATGTCACACGATTTTTGTTCTTTTTCTTCTTCTTTCTAAGCTGTTTTCCCATGGAGGGATTAGCATGATGTAACACGAGTTTGTCCCTCTGTTATAAATATCGTTTCCCAAGTTCTGTCATAAAAACATGGGAAAAGTTTATTAAACAACAAAAATTTGTCTTCATGGGACATCCTGCAGCAAATTTTCCTATAATTTTCCAATGAATATCTCAACCAATTCAACCTAGTTTGTGGCAGCCACAAAACCGAAGATTTTGGAATATAGCAACTACTTTCAAAGTAAGGACCACACAATTAAACAGGAAATAACACTTTCAAATTAGGATCAGAATTTTTTTCAAATTTTGTTACACAGTATAATAGACATCTTCTGTGTTTATTTTGGTGTGTCTGTTTTGGTGAGGTCCAGGAGACACGCATGCATTTGTGTGGGAGGGAGGACAAAAGGAGTTGTATGGTTTACAGTTGTCTTTTGTCTTCTTTCTCATTCTCTGCGGCTTCATTCTCGGTTTCCTCTTGACGCCTTGCCAATCCAAGATGTGGCGGCCGGTGAAGAGTGTCGCTACTCGGGTCACTGCACCTTTGCCTACTGCCAGGAAGAGATTGACGTCTGGACCCTGGAGCGTAAGGGGGCCTTCAGCCGGGAGGCCCTCTTCGGAGGCAACGGCGAGATACGTCTGACAGTCTCTCGGCTCCTGCAAGAGCATCACGGCCTCTTCATGTTCCTCTGCGAGGTGTGGGATCATGGCTATGGCGCCACAAATCTGGAATAGATTCATTGGGCTGGGAGGGAGGGAGGGAGACCCCTTGACAGAGAGCACACCCAAGGTCTGGTGGTGGCTTAAAGGAAGAGACATCTCTCTCAGGAATATGGCAATTGCAAGGAGGGTTGCACAGCGCAAGGCCCTCATTTGGGAAGCCTACATTTTGGACTGTAGCTCCCCAAAACCAAGTAGGGAATGAAGGAAGGGAGGGAGGGAAAGAGAGGGAGGGAGAGAGGAAGTGGAGAGTTCTGAATCTGTAGAAACTACCACCTTCTTTTCTTTTTAATACCATTACTGTTTAATTATATTTCAATGTTTGTATATGTTTAGGTTTTTGATTGTATTGCACTGGTTTTACTGTGATCTTCTTTTGAGTCTTAGAGAGAAAAAGTGGGGTATAAATAATAGGATACTTAAAGGGAAACATAAATAAATGAAAAATCAAGAGGTAATGAGTGGGAGGCTTAAATATTAGCTAAGTAAGTATTGTTATTACTATTATTATTATTTGGTCCTGATTGATTTTTGTAACTAATAGACATTTTAAGTGAAAAGTAAAGGTTTCCTCTGAGTCTAGTTGTGTCTGACTCTGGGTGGTGGTGCTCATCTCCATTTCTAAGATGGAGCGTTGTCCATAAACACCTCCAAGGTCATGTGGCCAGCATGACTGCATGAAAGGCTGTTACCTTCCTACAGATCTACTCATATTTGCATGTTTTCGAACTGCTATGTTGGCAGAAGCGGGGCCTAACAGTGGGAGCTCACCCTGCTGGAGAGCAGGGTGAGCTCCCACTGCAAGCTCAGTCAGCAAATTCAGCAGCTCAGCGGTTTAACCCGCTGTGCCACCAGGGTCCTGCACATTCTACGCAGGGCTTGTTCTTTCTGAGAGCAAGATGAAAATGACAAACCAGTAGGTTTCTTGCCCTAAGAGTGTTTTCTTTTTTGTTTTCCAGAAATGTTTTGAGCATAAACCTAGAATCATCAGCAAACGGAATAAGGATAACGCTGCGACCTGTTCCCATCCTGTTATGCATGATTTCGAAGACAACAAGTAGGTTCCCAGCCTTTCCTTGGTTTTCAAATGAGAGTTGTCTTGATAAACAAATGGGGTTGCAAGGAGGCCAGACTGATGCTTCACAGGTTTTTCAGAGGGGGCTGATAAAGCAAATGGGTTTTGGGAACAATGGGGGAAGAAAAGGTTTGGGAGCCCATATTTTAATGTTTTAATGCAGGGTGCAGCATGTGCAGCTGCTCCTTGTGACGGTGGCTGAGACAGTATTTTCTATCTAGCAGAAGTTTCTAAACCTGCCCCACCCACTCTCTCTCTTTCCTGTGGCCTTGACCCCATCCTGTCCCTCAGGTGCCTTGTCCACATTTTGCGGGAAACCACCGTGAAGTATTCCAAGATCCGGCCTTTCCACCTGCAGTGCCAGCTGGACCTGTGTCGGCACGAGGTGCGCTACGGCTGTTCGCGGGACGATGAGTGCTTCTATGCCCACAGCCTGGTGGAGCTCCAGGTGTGGATGATGCAGAGCAAGACAGGTGAGGGGCCTCTGAGCATGGGCAAAGGACTCTCTTCCCTTCACCCCTGGGCGCTACCTGATCTGGCCTGGCCAGGCAGGAGCCATCCCTGGGGCAAGCATCATCGTTGTCATCAACATCACAACGCTATGTAACAAAATTTGAAAAATGTTCACTTCCTGTTTTGAAGGTGTTGTTTCCTGTTTAATTGTGTAGTACTTTCTGTGAAAGTTGTTGTTCTACTCCAGAAACAATTTTTTTGCATTTTAATAAACCTTTCTCATGTTTTTATGATAGAAACAATAAGGAAATGATATTTATAACCCAGGAATAAAAACGTTTTACATAATGTAATATTTCTTTCCCACCTCTCATTGTAGCTCGAGATGGGCTCAAAACACACAATAATCATAAACATTATATAAAATGCACATATTAAAAAGTCATTTTACATAATACATACTGTTTTTACTCAAATCTAATACTCACCTTTTTGAGCTAAATGACTGCCAAAATCAGGATCCGCATTAGATCTGTGTCATATAGGAATCTTAGTGCTGTCAAAGAAAAAGAGGCTGCTTCAGCTTCTGGAGCTCCTCTTTCAGGGACTTCATCTCTAATTTAAATGCCATGGTTCAATGCTATGCAATCCTGGGATTTGTAATTTGGTGAGGCAAAAGCATTATTTGGCAAAGAAGGTTCAAGGTCTTGTAAAACTACATAATTCCATAGCATTAAGCCAGGACAGTTAGAGTGGATTCATTCTGCAGCAAACCTGCATCCCAAGGGTTTCCTTTCCATTGATGGAAGTTTTGGTGTCCTAACACTTTTGTTTTCAAAGAAGGAATCCTAACCAGGCAGCCGCTGTAACGTGGACCTTTTTTGTCCAAATTACAAAGAGGGCACTTTTGGCCGCAGCGCATAACATTCACCAACAAATACTTTATTTAGTTTCAAGGTTTTTAAAATGGAGGTGTGCCTTAGATGCGATGGCACGTGAGACTTGAGTCAATACGGGTATCTTAAAAAAACAAGAACAAAGATTAAAATATACTGAACACAAGACATGAGTTTAAAAGTTCCTGATTAAAACTCCTTTCTAGAAGAGAGAGGTCCAAGGCAAACTCGGATGGTGGTGAAAAGGGCCACTTGTTGGCTACATTTTAATGTATGCATTTGACATACTGCCTTATGATGAAGTGTTTTAATTATGTTGTGCCATGAGGAGAGGTGAGTAAGAAATAATAATATTAATAATAATAACAATAATGAAGGGACAGGATAGGGATAGATGTCCTGTTTATCATCTTTGCTCTGTGTATACTAGGCATGGGCTAACTTCAACCCTCCAGGTGTTTTGGACTTCAACTCCCACAATCCCTAACAGCCTCAGGCCCCTTCCTTTCCCCACTCAGCCACTTAAGTGGCTGAGGGGGAAAGGAAAGGGCCTAAATCTATTAGGAATTGTGGGAGATGAAGACCAAAATACCTGGAGGGCCTGTTGGCCCATGCCTGGTCTATACTATAGAATTAATGCAGTTTGGCACCACTTTAACCCCTCCCCTTATGGCTCTGTGCGATGGCATCCTGGGATCCGTAGTCTGTAAGGTGTCAGCCCCCTTTAGCAGCACCCAAGATTCCATAGCATTGAACTATGCCTAAGCTACAAGTTGAACAAAAGGAGAAATAGAGGAAGATCCATTTGATAAGAAATAGAAGCCATTTATAATAATAATAATCATCATCATCATCATCTTTATTTAATACCCCACCAACATCTCCCCAATGGGGACTCGGGGCGGCTTACATGAGGCCAAGCCCAACAGCATAATACAATAAAGTAAATCCAAAACACAATAACAACACCTAAAATACATACAACATATGAGTACAAAAACAATGAAGCAAAATCATACACAATAAGATAAAATAACATAACATAACAATTGGACTTCATGTACCTTCATGTACACAAGGTGGTGCAGCAAGTTAAATTGCTGAGCTGCTGAACTTGCTCACCAAAAGGTTGGTAGTTCGAATCCGGGCAGTGGAGTGAACTCCTGTTGTTAGGCCCAGCTTCTGCCAACCTAGCAGTTCGAAAACATGCAAATATGAGTAGATCAGTAGGCACCACTTTGACGGGAAGGTAAGGGAAGCGCCATGCAGTCATGCTGGCCACATGACCTTAGGGGTGTCTACAGACAACGCCAGTTCTTCAGCTTAGAAATGGAGATGACCACCACCCCTCAGTTGGACACGACTAGACTTAATGTCAAGGGGAAACCTCTGTGTATTTAAATATATGCATTTTATAGAGATACCTTTTAGTATATATATTTTCACGTAATGTTTTAAGGATTATGTGTTTTAACTATGTTGTGCCATGAGGAGAGGTGTGTAAGAAGTAGTAGTAGTTCAGACCCCTGTAATTGCAGATATGACCAAATGCCATTCAATGGCTTTATTTCCGGTCCCAGATCATTTTTTCGAAATGAAAATGTGTTTGCCACCAATAATTGAAAGGGTCACCAAGAAGTGAATCTTAGAGGCTTCATCACAGTTTATGTGAGATGCATCTCTCTCTCTCTTTCTTTCACAGGGATTTCCCATGAGGCTATTGTTCAAGAATCGAAAAAATATTGGCAGAATATGGAGTCTAACGCACATGGGGCCCAGGTATGTTTCTCAGCTTTGTTTTTGTGGCTGCCACAAACTATATTGAATTAGTTGGGACTCTGTGAGATATTCATTGAAAAAGTATAGCCAAATGTGCTGAAGGATGTCCCACAAAAACAAAGATTTTGCAATTTTTTCCATGTTTTTATGTTGGAACCATTTAGGAAATGACATTTATAACCCAGGAACAAAAATAATGTTATATAGTGTAATACTATCTGCCCATAAATAATTACATTCTCTTTCATTTTCCAGATCCTCAGTAACCAAGTGAAGCATGGCTCTCTAAACCTGAAAATGAAGTTTGTGTGTGCACAGTGCTGGCGGAACGGCCAAGTTAGTGAGCCGGACAAAAACAAGAAATATTGTAGCGCCAAAGCAAGGCACCCGTAAGTCGTGTGGTCCAAGGAGGCTGGTCCTGTTGGGAAACATTAGCATTATGTGTTAATGTTTTTAATTTTATGGCGTTTTTGGGCATTGAATCGTTGCTATTGTAAACCACCCTGAATTGCCTGAGGGCTGAGAAGGGCGATATACAAATACAGTAAATAAATAAATAAATACCAGAGCAATGGGAGTTTGAGTCCAGGGCACCTGTGTCACCCTTCCTTGAGAAAGGACTGTTGTGAACAAATGAGAGTATCGATGTGCCAATTGTCTTGTTCTTTTCAAAACCAAGGAGCAAGGAAGGCAGAGAAGACCACTGTTTGTAGCAATATAAAGAACTGCCTTATCCAGTCAGACCATAGAATAATTGAATAATAGAGTTGGAAGAGACCACATGGGCCATCTTGTCCAACCCCTGCACAATCAGAGTACTCCTGACAGATAGCCATCCAGCCTCTGATTAAAAGCTTCCAAGAAAGGAGCTTCCACCACACTCGGAGGCAGAGAGTTCTACTGTTGAACAGCTCTTACAGGCAGGAAGATCCTCCTTTATTTGATCCACAAGTTCGAACTCAAGGCCCACTGTGTCATTTTATGCAGAGTTACATTTAGAAAATGTCCCTGTTTTGACTTATAAACAAATTCAACTTAAGAACAAACCTACAGAAGCTCTCTGGTTCATCACTTGTGTACTTTCCATTTGCATACTCTGTGCTCGACCACGAAGTTTCCACCTCTGTCCATTTCGAATCCACACTGGATTCCTTTTTATCGATGAGCCAAATAGCTGCTCCCAGTGGCCTTAAATGCTTCCTTGTCTTTTTCTTCAGGTGGACCAAGGACCGCCGGGTGATGCTGGTCATGTCGAACGAGCGCAAGAAGTGGAACACCATCCGCCCGCTCCCCACCAAGAAGCAAGTGCCTTTGCAGTTTGATGTGAGCATGTCTTTCAGAATCGGGTTCAGTTTAGCCTTCGGCTTGTCGCTGGCTTAGGGTCTAGTTTTGTGCAGCCCTTAAGTCCTTTTTCTATGAATACATTTTTTATTCAGACAGATTAAAACAAAACTTACATACATACAAACAACAACAAAAGATTAAACATATTTTTCTAGAATACTACTACTACACCCTAAACATAAAACCCCCAATAACTACAAACAATCTATGTTATCTAATCTAAGGGCTTTACATTCTTTATCTGGTGGTTATATCTCTGTTTCTCCACCCATTTAGTGAAAAGGAACTATTGGTACCTCCTTTCTCACATAATAATACTCTTCTAGTCCAAAAAAGCAGTGATGGAGGTCTAGGCCCCATCTTTGCTGGAGGAACATAATGAATGGGCCCCACTCTTTCTTAAAGTTAGAAATTTCTCCTTAGTAAATATAGTAAGTTTATCAATTTTTGCAAGTTCGCTTCTTTTCATAAGTTAGCTGCCTTGGGACGGAATCATTGAGCCTTTCCATCTTTGAGCAGAGATCATTCTTGCTGTGCTCGTCATATACAGCAATAACCTTCCACAGTTTCTATTGATTTATTCATCTAACATCTCAGATAGTTTATCATGTAATGAAAATCATACATAGTTCACATTTAGTCAGTCTACACACTGTCTTGCCAGAGAAAGAAAATATTTATTTATTCTTTATTTAGTTACGACATTTATATGCTGTCCTTCTCATCCCGAAGGGGACTCAGAGCAGCTTACAAGTAATATGTAAATACAATATATTATATTATTATCATAGCACATTATTAATATTATATATTACTATATTGTACTATACCATTATACTGTAATATTATTAGGAATATTACATGTAATATAAAATATATAATTATAATATTGTATTATTAGTAGTAGTATTATATTGTATCACATTATAATATAATCAATATTATATGTATACACAATATATTATATTATATTATTAGCACAGTGCAGGAGACAAGGTGGAATATGCCACACAGATGATCAATAAAGAACAAGTAGTTTTCTCTTGGTAACGCAGACTGCATATTTACAATCATGAGATCAGTTGTATTAACTCTCCTTTTTGAGAGATATGAATGTTCCTTCAGTATCCATGTGGAAAAACCTCCTTCCAGCAGCTCATGAAGCAAGAACACACTGAACTGTCTGTCTCTCTCTCCCTGCAAGCACCTGCATAGCTCAAACCTAAAAATGTAACAGTAACCAAAACTCCCAGGCTCAGCTAGCTCCCTGGGTGTGGCCCAAACATTCAGCATTGTTCCTTGCATTTTGAAGTTAACACATGCCCTAACAGAGTTCAGGTTTTGTTTCAAATTAAACTTTAACAATTTCTTATAAAATCTTTTGTATTTGTGCCCAGTATTTCTGGGCCTTTTTAAATACATCTTAACCCAGTTTCTGGTGTCAGGTAGTATCTATAAAAAGGTAAAGGTAGTCCCCTGACATTAAGTCCAGTCATGTCTGACTCTGGGGTGTGGTGCTCATCTCCATTTCTAAGCCGAAGAGCCAGCGTTGTCTGTAGACACCTCCAAGGTCATGTGGCCGGCATTACTGCATGGAGCGCCGTTACGTTGTGTCATGACTTCAAAGAAAAAAAAGTATGGAAGGAAGGTAGTATCTATACTTCCTTCCAAAAAATTTTTCTTTGAAGTCATGACTCAATGTAAATTCCAAACTCTTGGTTCAGACTTGTTCCCATTGTTCCATTTGTATTTGTTTTACCAAAAAAATGTGTCCAAATCTGATGTTACATATTTCCTGTCCCTAAGCTTCTGAGAAGGCTTCAACTTTGCTCCAAAACACTTCATTGCCGTGAGCATTTTAAGATGAAACAGTTGCCTTTGGAAAGCATTCCAATAGCTTGGGTAATGTTTAGACAAGGCATAGACAAACTTGGGCCTTCCAGGTGTTTTGGACTTCAACTCCCACAATTCCTAACAGCCGGTAGGCTGTTAGGAATTGTGGGAGTTGAAGTCCAAAACACCTGGAGGGCCCAAGTTTGCCCATGCCTGGTTTAGACCCTGGCTCTCCACGAAAGGAGCTTGGGACTAAAAGGAGGGAACCAATCCCAATTCAGCGCAGTAGGTTTCCTGATGGAACGAGCATTTCTTCTCGAGCTCACCACTCAAAAATACCTTACTGATTTTTTAATGGTGATCGTTCACCTTTGAAGAATGCAGTCGATGTGACATGGAGCCTGTTTCTCTTTTAGTTGTGCAATCACATTGCGTCAGGCAAAAAATGCCAGTACGTTGGGAACTGCTCCTTTGCCCACAGTCATGAAGAGCGAGAGATGTGGACTTATATGAAGGAGAACGGCAGTAAGTCAACATGTAAAATTCATTTTCCTCTGGTGTCGGTTTTGTTTTCTGTATGCACCATAAACCAATAAAAATTATTTTTAAAAATAAAAAATTTAAATTCATTAAAACTATGGGATTCAACTCTTAATATTGAAAACATACTTTGGGGCAGGTTGGCATGCCAGAAGTACAGGCCATCCCTGGGTTACAAACATCTGACTTGCAAATGATTCCTAGTTAAGAACTGGACTGAGACAACAGGAAGTGAGAGAAATCTCCCCTTGGAAGGAAGGGAAATCTATTCCTGGAAGATTTATTATCATGGGGGAAAAGGGGCCTCTACTGAATCTGCATCTCCAATCCTTGTTTCCACAGCAAGCAACCCTTCCCTATGCCATCCAAAGTTAAAACATACATATTATACTTAAAAAATGTCCCTGTTCTGACTTACATACAAATTCAACTGAAGAACAAAAATACAGAACCTCTCTTGTTTGTAACTTGGAGACTGCCTGTATATTGAAATAGTGCATAAATGGAAATAGTGCATAAACCAGCCTGCTTCTGTTTTGCTTGTTTCTGTCTGAATGGGCGCTCGCTTCCTATGGTTACTTTTCTCTCTGTAGTTCAAGACATGGAGCAGCTCTATGAAATGTGGCTGAAGAGCCAGAAGCCCGAAAAGGGCGAAGATCCGGCTGCTCAAGCCAGCAAGGAGAATGGGAAGCAGATCCACATGCCAACGGATTATGCCGAGGTTACAGTAAGTCCTGAAGATCTAGGTATCACTTCCTGCCATCAGTTCAGCGGAAGGCTTGGGGCAAGCGTTTTGGCCCCAAGAAACTTAGCAAATGTGGCCGAGACAAGAGCCCTGTGCCAAGCCAAGCAGAGGCAGCATCTTCATGGATGTTGGGATATGAGTAAATCATTCAAATCAACTCTCTTGGCCCTCTAGGGATTAAACTTTTTTTCCTCAGGTTGACTTTCATTGCTGGATGTGCGGCAAAAACTGTAACAGTGAGAAGCAATGGCAAGGGCACATTTCCTCGGAAAAGCATAAAGAGAAAGTATTCCATACCGAAGACGACCAAAACCGTTGGCAGCATCGCTTCCCAACGGGATGTTTCAGCCTTTGTGAGAGGTAGGCATTATTATTATTATTATTAGTAGTAGTAGTAGTAGTACATTCAATTATATCCTTCTTTTTTCTCCTGACCAAGGAAAATAATGCAATTTACAATTCCACAACATACAAATATTTAAAATAGAATTTAACATATGACCAAACTGTTGGCAGCATTGTTTCCCAACTGGCTGTTTCAGCCTTTCTGGCAGACATAATTATTTATATTTGCAAAACTACAAGATGCAAAACAAAAGTAAAATAATGGGATTTAAAATCCATGCCCTATGGATATTTAAAATAGAATTAAACATACAAGTCAATTTAAATCATTTGAGACTGTTAAAATAATCAAAATACCATACAGGCTCCCTTTGGGTACCTTTGGTGTTTAGTTCGTTCTGCTAAAATCCAGCGAGCAGAAGCAGGAAGTATGCAGCTCTGGTGCCCCAGATCAGGTTATATTGAGTCCCAGAATGCCACATACCTCACATACCTTCAGGCTCTGCCTTCTTTTATAAAAATTAGAATTATTTGGGGGTGGCGGGGGGTGGGGGGTTGAGTGGCAAGGCAGCGCCTGACTTAGAGGTCAGTGCAAGGCCGCAAAATATTGGGGGCAGCTCTGTTTGCAGGATGTCTCACATATGCCGCCTTTGTCCTTTTTTTCCATTCTTCTTTCTTCTTCCTTCCTTCCTTTTTTCTTTTCTTCTTTCTTTCCTTATTTCCTTCCATCCCTCCTTCATTTCCTTCTTGCTTTCGTCTTTCCTTCTTCTCCTTTCCTTCCTGTTTATTTCTTCCCCCCRCCACTCCWTTCCTTCTTTCTTCTTCCTTCCMTAATCCTTTTCTTTCCTTCCTTCCTTCCCTTCTTTTATCTTTCTACTCTTCCATTCTTCTCTTTCKTTCTTCCTCCCTTTCTCTCTCTCTCTCTTTCTTTCTTTCATCACTCTCTTCCATCTTCCTTCCTTTTCCCACCTTCCTTCTTCTCGTTCTTCCTTCCTCTATATTTTTCATTCTTTCTTTCTTTCTTTCTTCCCTTTTTCTTTCCTTCTTTCCATTCTCCCTCCCTCCTTTCCTTCCCTTCTTCCATTCACCTTCCTTCCCACCTTACCTCTTCCTTCTTTCCATTCTTCTGCCTCCCATTCCTTTCTTTCCTTCCTTACATTCTCCTGCCCTCCCCGTCTTCTTCCTTCTTTCAATTCTTCTTCCGCTTCCTTCCTTCTTTCCATTCTCCTCCCTCCCTTCTCTTTTTCTAACCCCCGTTGGAACAGGTTTGCTGTGTCGGGYGCCTGTGTGGAGGGCAGCCACTGCCGCTGGGCCCARGGTCTGGCAGAGCTCCGTGAATGGGAGGAGCGCCGCCAGGTCCTGTGCATGAAGCTCAGCAAAGCCCGCAAGGACCACTTGATTGCCCCCAACGATAACGACTTTGGAAAATATAGTTTTTTGTTTAAAGATTTAAACTAACTCCTGTCGACCTATGCCTTCGTGTTGCCAGACGGAAAAAGCATAAAAACCAAGGAGGAGGAAAGGAAATAATCATTTGTTGACAGTGATCCGAAGGCGCGTGCGGCAGAAGCCGCAGGTTTTGGCGCCTGCTTTTTTGGGCCGGAATTGTTCCTCCCGATGAACCAAACCGTGTAGTAGATGTCTATCTAGGGGGGGAAAGGGAAGGTTGGCGGGTCTCTTGGGGCCAACAGGACGGCGGCGCGAGCCCTCCTTCAAACCCAGCCTCAAGCCTTGTGCACCTTCCATTGGAGGGGAAAGAGTCAGAAAACAACAACAACAATAATAAACCTGGCCGGGCAGCCTTACGCCAAAGCAGAAGGCAAAGAAGCCTCAAGCGCTAGGCCTTTGGCTGGAGAGCAACCCTTTTAAGGTAGGCTTCATGGCAGAGAAGCCTTGGGCTTAGAAGAATTCAAAAATAAATAAAACGAAATACATGATGGAGGGAAATTTTTAAGAGGATTTGTTTCCAAGAAAGTTTGCTCTTTATCTCTGTGTAGGTTACTTAATAAATGAAAAAAAAAAAGGATTTTTCGTATGAATAAAAGGAGCAGATTTTAAGCGAAATAACCATTCAACAGCACTATACGTTGAATGGGGTATTTTTCTCTATTTGTATGTTTCAATATAACTTACTGAAGACTTTTTAACACAAAAAGAATCTTGGTCAAAAAAAAGACGTATTAATTTTTTTCTTTTTTCTTTTTTTGGAAAAATCAAGTAGTTTAAATTCTGTTTCTTGGTCTTTGCTGTTTCAATGATGATTTTGAGCGATTCCACTTGTATGTCAGTATTGTGTATTGTATGGACCAATATTGCCTGTAATAATAAAGATAACTTTCCATAAAAGACTTTTTTCCTAAGCATCTGGTTCTTGTTGGGATTGCGGGTATTTTGTACGACATTCTGTGCTTAATTTTTATCCTACTTTTTTCCTGATAGACTCAATGCCAGTTGCCATTATTATTAGTAATATTAGTATTAGTATTAGGGTTGAGTTGCTGTGAGTTATTAGGGTTGTCAGGGGTCCATTATTATTATTGGTATTACTGTTATTGTCCCTTCTACTTCTTCCTCTTCTTAGGGTTGCCAAGGGTCCATTATTATTATTATTATTATTATTATTATTATTATTATTATTATTAGTCTGCCAGGATCTCTTGTTATTATTAGGATTGTCAGGGTTCCATTATTATTATTGCCAAGGGTTTCATTATTATTCTTTTTTCTTCTTATTCAGGTTGTCAGGCATCCCTTATTATAAGAGCTGACCCCAGATTCAAGAGCGTTTCTTTTTATTCCATTACTAGGTGTTGCCCAGGTTATTTGAAAAAGTCATTTTTTAAAAACTGTACAAAATGCATAAGGTGAACCATAACTGACATCATGCCAGGTTAACCTTGAAAACCTCCATCAGTACTTAAAAGTTTGTTATGTTGGGCAAGTTTTCTCTAGGTGCATCATTGGTGGGGTTCGGTGTGTTCCCAGGCTGTAGGGTAAACTACAGCTCCCACTATGGTGAGTCAGTCCCCTCAAACCTCTCCAGTAGGTTGAGTTAGTCATGGGGGTTCTGTGTGCCAAGTTTAGTCCAGGTCCATCATTGGTGGAGGTCAGTTTCTCTGATTGTGAGTGAATTACAACTCCCAGAAAGAAAGATCAATCCATCCACCCCACCCCTCAACCCCTTTATAATCAAATTTCAGCATATAAGGTATGTGTGCCAAGTTTGGTCCAGATCCATCAGTGTTTGGGTTCACAGTGCTCTCTAGATATAGGTGAACTCCCCCAAATCAAGGTGAATTTCCCCCAAAGACATCCAGTATTTTTTTTGGTTATGGAGGCTCTGTGTGCCAAGTCTGGTCCAATTTCCTCTTTAGTGGAGTTCAGTGCGCTCATTGATTGCAAGCGAACTATAAATCCCAGAACCTACAACTCCAAAAATGTCCAGGCCAATTCCCCTCAAAACCCACCAGTATTCAAATTTGGGCATATCGGGTATGCATGCCAAGTTTGGTTTATTATTATAATTATAACTTTATTTGTACCCCGCTAGCATCTCCCGAAGGATTTGATGCGGCTTACAATAGGCCGAAGCCTATTGGGTTTGGGTTCATAGTGCATTCTGGATGTAGGTGAACTACAAATCCTATAAATCCTTCCAAAGACCTCCAGTACTTTTTGTTGGTCAGAGGGTTTCAGTGTGCCAAGTTAGTTCCAGGTCCATTGTTGGTGGAGTTCAGGGTGCTCTTAAATTGCAGGTGAACATCCCAGTCCCTACAACTCCCCTAAATCATGGTAAATTCTCTCCAAACCTCTCTAGTATGTTCGGTTTCTGATAAATTCCTCTGTCTGCTGTGTGCCATAGAAAATAATAGGAAAGGGTTAAGGAGAGAGGCAGTGGGTGGGCTCATGAAAATTCCACATCAATGGAGAGAGAAAGGAACACTGGGATGTTTGTGGAAGAGGAAACACAAGAAATCTAGGAAGTAATTGTCCCTGTGTGAAAGCCTTCACTTGGGTAGTGGGCAGCATTGTGTTTGTGAGCTTCAGGAGTAGGCTTCAGTTGAGGGCCCTTCCACACAGCCATATCAAGACAGAAAATCCCAAAATATCAACTTTGAACTGGTTTAAGGCCCCTTCCACATAGCTGAATAAAATCCCACAATATTTGCTTTGAACTGGAATATATGGCAGTGTGGACTCAGATAACTCAGTTCAAAGCAGATATTGTGGGATTTTCTGCCTTGATATTCTGGGTTTCATGGCTGTGTGAAAGGGTCCTGTGTCCATTCTGCCATACATTCCAGTTCAAAGCAGAAAATGCGGGATTTTCTACCTCCATATTCTGGGATATAGAACTGTGTGGAAGGGCCCTGAGTCCGCAGTGCCATATAATCTAGTCCAGTGTGCATTTTATACAGCTGTGTGGCAGGGGCCTGAGAGAAACCGAGGACCCTTCCACACAGCCATGTAACCCAAAATACCAAGGCAGAAAATCCCACAATATCTGCTTTGAACTGGGTTATCTGAGTCCACACTGCCATATATTCTTGTTCAGAAGCGGAAAATGGGGAATTTTCTGCCTTGATATTCTAGGATATAGGGCTGTGTGGAAGGGGTCCAAATAGGCCTCAGTCCAAACTGCAATCTCTTGCCAAAGTCGACATGTTTGGCAGGGCAAAAAGGAGTACATTTTATAGGAAACACAGTACTGTCAAATTCAAACTTCCCGCCTCCCACCCCCTTGCCGTCTTCACGCTGATTGGCTGGAGTCATCAGCTGGAGGGAGGCGCAGCCGGCTTAGGTGCGCCTCAGACAATGGGGAAGCCAGCGCCGCTTCGGCTTCTGAGCCAATGAGCGAGGGGCCGGTACAAGAGGAAAACAAAGAACCGAGAGAAAAATGAGTGGATTAAATGTGACTTAATGGTTTGTCTGATGGCCGGCGATAATCTGGAGATTCCTCAAGCTGGCCGGGTATTGTCTTATGTGGGTGAAATATGCACAGCTGCTAAGCCTTGGTAATCTTCAGTCCTGGATATGGCGTCTATTGATGTTATCTGTCCATTGGTTTCAGCCAAGAGGAGGTAGACCATAGGTGAGGCAGATGGGGCACCCTGATCTTCCCTGAAGGCAGGATGTCCCATTATTGATGAATGATTGAGTCACCATGGGGCGCTCCCTTTCAGGGGCCATGCTCCGAGACCTGAGGGGCACCATAGTTTCTGTCCATGCAAGAAATCTTTGTTAAGTCCTTTTTAAACAATGGGAAGATCATCTCAGGAAGTGAAGAGGAATTTCCTAAGAAGTTTGTTTGCTGGGGTCACGAAAAGGGTGGCATTTCTTATTTCATACATAGACACAGATATGGGGTTCATAAGGCATACATTGGGGGGGAAAGGGGGGGAAAGAAATTCATACCAACCCGTCCCACCCGCCAAAGTTCATGAAGAGCCTAAAATCAAAAAATCATAAAGGGGAGTCCATAGGGCTTGAAAGAAGAAAACTTTCCAAAAAAGTTTTCAAACGGTTTTCAAAAGTTGACCAAAGTTCTAGGAAAGTTGTAGAATCCATGGGGGCAGGCTAGGGCAGATGCCCCGGAGTCCATTGAGTCTTTGTAAGGTAGTGGCCAGTGCTGGAGGTCGAGATCCATGTTGAAAGAAATGGAGAAAACTACAGATCCCATCTTGGCAAGGATCCGGATGGCCCGCTAGTCCTATGGGTATCTGCAACAGGTTCCCCAGGTCAACAGGTGCCTCGGGTGCCAGCGAGATGGCAACAACAGCGTTGTGTCAGCAGGGAGCCAGCTGGGGTCCATGATGGGTTTGGGGGGCAAAAAGGGTTATTCCCGGGGCAGAGAGGTTAGTGGAGCAAAAGCGAGATAGCCATTAGTCTTAGAATAAGCCCAGGAGAGGAATGGCACTGATTTTGAAGCGATCCGTTGACTCACGGATACGGGGGCCCAATGGGTTTCCATATCCGCAGTTCAGAGGAACGCAGTTCCAGCCTCCCCTGGAAGCAAAAATCACATCCCAGGTGGGCTGCCAGTGATCAGCTGCCCGGGAGAGGGAAAGTTCATGTAAAGAGCAGTTTCTGGACAGTAAAATACACAAAGTAACACTAGAGAGATGAAAAGTTACAATTAATGGTTTCTTTATTGGGGGATTTGCTACAATGTTAGGTAGGGGGAAAAGAGTGAAGCACAAAGAAAGTCTCTTGGTTGAAGTTGCTGCTGTGGCCACATTCCATAGAAGCTGGCCCAAGTGGGCAATAGAGAACTGCGGAACTCCCTGCTGCAGGTCAGATCAGCTTGAAGGCAGGGAGTTCTGGGTTGGTCGCCCTCACTGGGGCTGACAGCGGAAGCTCACCCCACTCCCTGGATTCGAGCCTACGACCTTTCGGTCAACAAACTCATCAGCTCAGTGCTTTAACCCACTGTGCCACTGGGGGCTCCTAAAGGGCCTAAGGCTGTTGGGAATTGAAGTCCTTGGAGGGCCCAAGTTTTCTCATACCTGGCCTAGCTTGAGAGCAGGGGCGGCTTGTCCATTACGCGAAGTAAGTGGTCGCAGAACACTTTTTTTGCCAGGGGTGCAGAGGCGCCTCTGTAAATGCCCCTCGACCGCCACTTGAGGAGCGCCCCTCAGCTCACAACAGCCCTAGCAGTCCGGGGGGAGCCTCGGCTTTCTTGCCTCGCTGCCGGGCGATCCTCTTCCCAAAGGGGCCGGGCCCTTGAGCCTCGCCTAGCCCCTCTCGTTCCTGCTCCACCCGGCCACTGGGTGCGTGAGCAGAGCCGGTGCTCAATCGTTCTCCGCGTTCGATCCCTTCCCCATGACCGGCTCCCTTTCCCGATCCCCCGGCGCTCCACCCACCTCCTCTCCTCTCCCTAATCCGCGGGTGGGCCAAGGGGCGGAGCCGCCGCGCCTGGCCCGCTTCGGGTCCGGAGGCGTGTCTGAAGACCCCAGCGTGCACACCAAAAGTCGCCTCTTCTCCTGACTTTCTCTTCAGCCATTGGGACCAAGAGAGAGAGAGAGAGAGCCCCTCCGGCTGGAGGTATCTCCCACCTCCGCTCCCTCCTTTGTTTTTGCGCTACCTTCAGGAAAGGTGGGCATCTCCACCTCTCTCTCTCTCTCTCTCTGTCCCAATGGCTGAGGAGAAAGTCAGGAGAAGAGGTGACTTTTGGTGCACACGCCGGGGTCTTCAGGCATGCCTCCAGACCCAAAGCGGGCCAGGCAAGGGAGCAAGTGCGGCAAGTGTAGTTACTGGGATGTATAGTTCACCTACAATCAAAGAGCATTCTGAACTCCACCAATGATGGAATTGAACCAAATATGGCACACAGAACTCCCACGACG